CCCCAAAACCCCAAAACCCCAAAACCCCAAAACCCCAAAACCCCAAAACCCCAATTACTTGTAAGGTTGTTGAGAGGAGAATGTTAATTACATCAATTTGCCTGAAAATACGCTGAAATCTTTCACAGTTGCCTTCGATTTATCTCGAGCGTTCTTATATTCAGCACAGATCTCGCACAGTTTGACTTTCTGGTCCTCAAACCCAGAGGCAAAGTTATATTGATAGCATCAAGACCCACAGAAAACGTTACCACATTCTCTGCAGTGATGGCGCCATCTAAGGAGGCTAAACTTCTTCTCACAGTGGAAGCAGTCTTCGGCATGCTCGTTGGGGATCCATTTTGACCTGACTTTAGTCTTGACAAAATTTCTCTTGCTTTCATCCTTTACTAGAGGCTCATTGAGAGAGATCATCTATATGAATATTAGGATCCTTGACAAGCTCAGATTCATCACTTACTTTGCTATTTGAAATTGTAGAGGTCATATTTGTAGAAGTGTTAGTAACTCTTGATTTTCTCAGAATTTTCTCCTGATAAAATTTGGCCTTGCATTCTTCCTTTTTCTTCTTGATTTTATCAGCTACTGCCTCTCCTTGGATGACAGAGGTCCCAAATTCTAGTTTTTCAGGGGTGAACAGGTAACCAACTTTGTCCATCTCTTCTAGACTCAGGTCAAGGGAATCTTCTTCTCTTTTCTGGATGAACTTCTTGAGGTTCACAAAGATTGAAAATATTTCATGAGCCAAAGAATCGATCTGTTGGACCTCACTTCTATTAGTGTAGAGATTTGCTCTACTAAGCTGGTCTATGGTAGATTGATAATCAGGATCAGAAGCTTCAGCAAAGTTAGCCTCAGATTTGTTGATATTTAATCTCTTGAAAAGTCTCTCTTTCATCATATTTGAAACACTAAAATGGATTAGGGAGTAGGAAAGCTTAGACATACCTATTGATATCTGTTTGAAGCTTCAGATATTGGCCCATGATCTTGTTCTTTTCTTGTATGGTGTTCTTCAACTGCTCAACCACTAACTTATGCTCAAACATGGGAACATGTTCTCTAGTATCTCTGATGGATGGTTCTATACCAAAATTAGACTAATTGGGAAAAAAAGCGTTCATATTTGTCACATAGTTTATAGATTTGCTTCTCTTCAAACCAGAATAGAAAATGTGGAGACGGTTGTTAAATATCTTCTCATGGATGGATTATCCCCAACTAGGGTTGCACGATATTTAGCTCGATTCACTAATAACTTTTAACATAATTTGTTAACGAAATTTTAGAAGAGAAGACTACTAAAATTTTTCGGTGGGGTATAATCTTATTAATAAATCTGAACTTCTTGGTTAAAACTACTACTTTCCGCAAGAAAAATCTGCATTTTGAACTGAGATTAGTAGACAATGGTAAAAATTCTTTCAGTTAATGCATCAAGGACAGCCAAGATAGTTTATTATAACAAATTCTACCTAATCAATGAGTTTTTCAAAAGAATGAAATATCCTATTTCACCATAGTGTTTTTGTGGAAAATTAGTAGAGAAAATAAGGAAATCTTAACAAAATATTAAAAACAATGGAAGATTTCCAAAAGGCATTTACAGCTGGTCTTACCTGGCTGACTCTGAAAAATCCCTCCTTCAACAGCTTGACTTTGGATTTGAAGTCCATTCATCTGTTTTACTGTGACTTTCATCATTGTTATATAATTAAATTTCTATTCGTATTTGGTAATAAGGGGTTTTGGGGTTTTGGGGTTTTGGGGTTTTGGGGTTTTGGG